TTCTAGAAGCAAGATACAAATATGCCTATTCTTGACTAGAATGAAAAATAAAGTACAAGGACTTGCTAAGAATGAGTCTACCAAAAATTTCTAGGTCTATGGAATACTCAGAGATCAGAACAGGGAAAAGGCAAGAAAAACTTTTCCTAGGCCAGCAGCCTGCGTGTTCTAGGAAAACGTTCTATCTATATCTAAATGAACATATATAGAGGTGTGGCACTTTTTTTTTTTTTTTTTAATCTGCTGAGCTACTTTGCTTCCTGATTCTGGTTGCATATAAAACTTGAGGTTAAAAAAATTGAAAATAAAATTATGAAAAAAAAATTGAAGCTATTTTTCTTTTCCTACTTTTAATTTTGGTGTTCAGAGGGATTTTTTTTTGTTTTTTCCTGTGGTGCCAGGGATTGAACTCAGGACCCTGCCCTTGCCAGGCAAGTGCTTATTTTACTGAGCTATCTCTCTGGCCCTTCAGAGAGAATATTTAGAAAATGTGAGATGTGATTGCTTATTCTGCGTACTGTTTTTTCAAATAAATAAATAACTAGTAGATAAATTGAATTACATAAGACTCTAAAGGTAGTAGGATAAAAACCAAATCTCTTTTTCCTCCAGTTCAAAATTTCTCTGATTTTCTAGACAGTAATGACTGACCCTCCTCCCCATGCTGGGGCTTGAACCCAGGACCTTTACACTGAGCTATAGCCCTATCCCATTTTTCTTTTCTTTTTCTTTTTGACAGAGGATCTTTCTAAGTTACTAAGTTTGCTAGGCTAAGTTAGAATTTACGATCTATCTGCCTCAGTCTGGGATTGTAGGTGTAAAAAAACCATACCTGGCTAGTGATTGTCTTTTTAACTAAGTAACAAAATACTGGTTTGAATTTAAAAGAAGGAACACGTGTTTTCAAGAAATCATGAATGTTTTAGATCAACAAGATAAAGTACTAAAAACTTTAGTTGCAGGAGCATAACATATGTTATTATTTTTTATAGGATGCACTATTTTTAAATTTTATTTTATTTTATTTTTAAGAGTGAGATAAGCAAAAACAAATAGAAAAAATGACAGAAACAGGGTAACATTCAACAATACATATGTTACAGATTTTTAAAACAGGAATAGCAAATTAACAATTGTTATATTACCTATTTTAATGTCAAATCTGTTGCTCAGATTAACAGATATAGTCATGCAAGATTGGACAAATAATTGAATATTAACACTTGCTTGCAAGTAATCTGAAATTTTTTCCTTGTCTTTTTAAAAAAACTTATTTTAAAGAGAGTATAATAATTGATAAGACATTACAGGCAGTACACAGGTAGAGGCCAAGATGGGAGGTATCCAACCACAGTTTTTGTACTACACATTGCTGCCCTCGATGTAGCTGCTCACATCGCAGATATCAGCATACAGAGTTAGTCAAGGTGAAAATTGCAAACATTAACTGCTATTTTCAAAAGTTCTTGTCATTTTTAGTTAGGCAATTAAATAAGACTAATAGATCAATGTATTATTGCAAGGCTGAAGCAATGTTATATTGTGATCAACCTCTTCTTTAATAATCTTGAAAAAATTTTATTAGCCATATACTGTTTTATGCTAGGAAATAAGCCTACTGTATCAAAATGATAACCTGTTCTAATTTAGTTTACATATAGGCAAATGTATATATATCCAGCTTTTTTTCTGTAACCACAGAAGCAAAGTATTGATATTTCACAATTCATAAAATCACTCACCAAGGTCAACAATACATTGTTACATTTACAAACGTGGAAAAATATATATATTCCAAAAATAGGGTTCTATGAAGCTTGTTTTCCATGATGAATGATATATTTTGAAGGGAAATGAAATTTATATACTACAACTTTTTAAAATCTTTATTCATTTATTTGGTGTAGGGTCTTGCTACGCAGTTGAGACTTGTAGTGGTTCTCCTGTCTTAGCCTCCCCAGTGCTTGGATTACACGTGTGCACCACCAGGCCCGGTTTCAGGGCTGGTATGGCTTGCCTGAGTTCTGGGGCCGGGATGGCATGCAGTACCTCGCTTAGACTGCTGAGCTATTTCCCCAGCCCTAGCATTTTTTAAAATTAAAACCAATTTCTATAACAAAATAAGAATTATTCTCAGTAAAACTATTCTTTCAAGTGAAATGCTAGGTTTATTTTTACTTTTTGCTTCCTGGTCTTATGTTTTAATCACTTGCAAGTCACTTTCCCTTTTTGGTATATCTAGATGATCTCAGATGTTGTCTGCTATGTTCTATGATAGTCTCTGTGCCACCTGTGTAGGCTTATAGGATATTTTTATTGTGTTTTAAGTATTGTCATATGGGCACAAAGTCCTACCACTGTGCAAAGCAAATGTGTAAGTACGACACAGTACATGTATGGGCATGTTCCATTTTCAGCCTTTCTGCCCCATTAATAAAACCAGGAAAAATAAATATTGTTCACATATGCAGGTGCATAGTATGGTAAAAATGTAGATTTCTATAGCTCCTTTAATGTAAAATGCTGATGTTTATAGAAGTATATATGGCAATTAAATTTTATGTTTTTCTAGATTATAGATATTGCTAATGTTTTTCTTTTTTTTTTTCAAAGTTTTATTGACAAACAGATAGCAATGAGACAGTTTCAAATCAAATCGGAAGGACAGTTTCAACAAATAATACACTGCATATA